AGATTAAGATTTTGTGTGAAACACAGCCATGGAAACGTTCTTTGAGAAGTTTCAGAGAGATTGGAATGATTAGGTCTTGTTTTTTCCTGCTCTGTTTCTTCCTCCCTCTGAACTGTGTCCAAGTAAATGTGACCAGAGCTCTCCAATTTCACTCCAAACAGTTCTATACATCTGCTCTTTCCTGGCACTTTTTAAAAAGTGATTTTTGGAGCACCCTACAGCTGCAAAGGATCTCTTTCTGGTAGAGCCATGAGGATCTAGCATGTGTACCAACATCATAATGAGAAGCAAAGCTCAGAATAACAAAATAACAGAGTTGGAAGGGACTTTGGAGGTCTTCTAGTCCAACCCTTGCTCAAGCAGGAAACCCTGTATATACCATTTCAGAAAAGTGGCTGTTCCATCTCCTCTTAAAAACCTCCAATGTTGGAGTACCCACAACTTTTGAAGGCAAGCTGCTCCACTGATAAATGGTCCTCACTGTCAGGAAATTTCTCCTTAGTTCTAAGTTGCTTTTCTCCTTGATTTAATTTCCACCCATTGTTTCTTGTCTTAGCCTCCGGTGCTTTGGAGAATAGTTTGACTCGGAACTCTGCTATCATGACTCCCCAGTCCTTCTTTTCACTAGATGAGACCTGCCCAATTCATGCAGCTGTTCCTCGTACGTTTTAATCTCCATTCCCCTAATCATTTTCGTTGCTCTTGTCTGCACCCTTTCCAGAGTCTTTCCGGAGTTTTGTGACAACCAAAACTGGATGCAATATTCCAAGGCATCCATCTAATACTAAGCTGGCAGGAATAGCCAATACCCTAGATTCAGTGTTGGTGGATCTTTTTGGCAACGAGTGCTGAAACAGGAGCATGCCCGAGTGCTGGAAACCGAGCAGCTGCTCTTCCAGTTTCCGATGCACGTGAGCACGCGTCCGGCCAGGTGGTCTTTGCACACATGCACACATGCCAGAAACAGGAAGACGGGGGAAGGAAGGAGAGAAGAAAGGAGGGAAGGAAGGAGGGAAGGAAGGAGGGAAGGAAGGAGGGAGGGAAGGAGAGAAGGAGAGAAGAAAGGAGGGAGGGAAGGGGGAAGGAGGGAGGGAAGGAAGGAGGGAAGGAAGGAGAGAAGGAGAGAAGAAAGGAGGGAGGGAAGGGGGAAGGAGGGAGGGAAGGAAGGAGGGAAGGAGGGAAGGAAGGAGAGAAGAAAGGAGGGAAGGAAGGAGGGAAGGAAGGAGAGAAGAAAGGAAGGAGGGAAGGAGAGAAGGAGAGAAGAAAGGAGGGAAGGAAGGGGGAAGGAGGGAAGGAAGGAGAGAAGGAGAGAAGAAAGGAGGGAAGGAAGGAGGGAAGGAAGGAAGGAAGGAAGAAGAAGTAGGATTGGTGCAAAACAAGATGGGTTTATGGGATGGTAAGAACGGAATTTCAAGTATATTGTCAACTGTAGGGAAAACATTGTTATAAATACATATTATTAATAACAGTTATGAGATCATATAAGTGTGAATGTATATATGAGAAATAAAAAATTAAAATATGAAAAAAAAAAACAGAAACAGGAAGACCAGGTGGCACATGAGCACGCCAGAAACCAGAAGATTATCTTCCCGGCGTCTTCATGCACACCAAGCAGCTGCTCTTCCAGTTTCGGGTGCGTGCATGTCCACTGGCCACCTGGCCTTTTGGTTTGTGGCGTGCATGCATATGCGAAGGCCAGCTGCCTGTTATGCGTGCATGCGCTAGAACCCGGAAGAGCAGCTGCCCGGCACGCATATGCACACTGGGTAGCTGCACTTCCAGTTTCCGCCGTTCCCATGTGCATGAAGACCCGTTGGTCAATGCGCTGGAACCCGGAAGGAGAACAGGCGATGCCTCGCGTGCCCTGAGAGATGGCTTTGCATGCGTGCCATAGGTTCACTACCACGACCCTAGATGATAGGCTCAAGCTCCAGGTGGATCTTGCCAGACTTGAACACTAGGCCCTATCGGAAAAAAATGAAGTTCAATGTAGAGAAAAGTAAAGTCTTACACTTAGGCAAGAAAAATCAAAAGTACACATATAGACTGGATGAAATCAGGCTTAATGGCAGTCACTGTGAGAGAGATCTTGGAGTCTTAATGAACAACCAATTAAATATGAGCTAAGAGTGTGCAGCGGCAGCCAAAAAAGCCAATACAATCCTAAGTTGCATTAACAGAGGGATACAATCAAAATCAAAGGAGGTACTAGTACCACTCTGTAAAACCTTAGTAAGACCACACCTAGAGCACTGCATCCAGTTTTCGTCACCACACGATAAAAAAAGATGTTGAGACTCTAGAAAAAAATGCAGAGAAGAGCAGCCAGGATGATCAGGGGACTGGAGACTAAAACATACGATGAACAGTTGCAGGAACTGGGCATGGCTAGTCTATGGAAGAGAAGGACCAGGGAAGACACGAGAACAGTCTTCCAATATTTGAGGGGCTGCCACAGAGAGGAGGAAGGGGGTCGAGCTATTTTCCAAAGCAGGCCAGACAAGGAATAATGGAAGGAAACTGATGAGGGAGAGATTCAACCTGGAAATGAGGAGGAATTTTCTGGCAGGGAGAACAATCAACCCATGGAACAGAAGTTGCCTTCGGAAGTTGTGGGAGCTTCATCACTGGAATCTTTCAAGAAGGGACTGGATTCCCATCTGTCAGAAATAGTGACATTTGCTTGGGCCTGGGGTTGGACTCAGGGGTGGTATACACTTACCTTCCCTATCGGTTCGCAAATGTGAGCATGTGGGGATGCCTCCGCCGCTACCATTTGCTGAGGCCGATCGGTGCTGCCGATCGCTACCGTTTGGCAATGTTGATCAGCGGCTACGGCAGAGATTGGTACCGATGGGCAGCAGTGGAGGTGATTGGCGGCAGCGAGCGGTGGCGGCGGCGATCCCCACCGCCTAGAACAGCTGATCCGCAGTATTCCGGGAGGCCGAGCTAACCGTCGATCAGCTGCTCGGCAGCAAAGGCTTCAGCATTCCCTGGTGGCGGCAAACAGCGGCAGCAGTGACAGGTGGCGGTGACAAACGCACCAACCCCTCTCCCCTCGCTGCAATATTCGCTCTATAAGATGCACAGGAGAGAAGGAGAGAAGAAAGGAGGGAAGGAAGGAGGGAANCAGATCCAGTCAATGTCAATTTGGTAAGCCACAAAGCTAACTACCATGGTTCGATGGTTATCTGAAGACCAGAGACTATGTATGCCCCCGTGACAGCTGCCACTTGTGTATCCATCATAAGGCATCAGCCCTATTATGTCTAGAATCTGGCACCCCAACACTATCATCAGTCCTAGGCATTTCATTATCAGATTCCTTATTCACAAGTACAGCACTGAAGATACATCTCAGAGGATCTAATTTTGAGAAAATAAATGTACAACAATCTTGTAATGTGGTGCACTGCTCTCCTTCCTTGACTGTGTCAAGGCCAAAATTGACATACGTGTAGCCATTTTATTTAGCTATTATACGTGTTTATTCCTTTTCTTTCTCTTTACTATGTAAGGGTGTTTTTTGCAGCTCATGACATTCTAAAAGTTGGGGGCGAATAGTGAGGATTATTTTGGCTTCTTTCCCGTGGGAACAGAGTCTGCTGCTGGTGAGAACAAAGGTGTAGTTTGAAGACACTGGGCAATGTGAATTGAGTGTTTATTGGAGAACGGGACTTTTGTGGGATGTTTCTAAATCACAATATTATATGGTGTAATTCCAGCTTCTGTCAGATCCGGAATTACAAGAGACTTTGCCAATTTGACGGCTACCTAAATAAAATAATTTTGTTTTAGAAGATGGATTTTGCACATTTCTTTTTTGAGTGGGTTTCAACGCTTGGAAACCTGACAGACTGCAGGTTGCTGAAGGAGTCAGTAGCAGGGTTCATGATATTGAGGCATAAGGTTGTTGGTAAACAAGGCTTTGTGATCAGCATATTATTGCCTAAATTAATCCAGCTAGAATTTTCTTTTGCTCTAGGCTAGATCGATGATTCTCAAGCTCAGCCACTTTAAGCTATGTGGACCTTAACTCCCAGAATTGCTCTAGATTTACATCCCCTCTTTCTTTATGCTTAGTGAGTGGCAGCCTCTAACCAACTCTGGTTGCTCTTGAAAAGCTAAGGAGACATGGTTAGTCTTTGGAGGGAAGACCACTTGGTGATGTCAAACATGTACTGATACATCAGGACCAAAATCTCGGAGACAGCCAGTGTTTAGGGTGAGCAGACCCGGCTTGCCAGTCTCCAGGGGACCACTGGATGATAGCAAAGGGAGGCAGAAAAATGCCAATTATTGGCATTTAGATCTGGCAGCTTAGAATAGCATTGCACTTTTAGATATTTTAAATTTCCATTTCACCCACCACCCAATAACTCTTGCTTCTTTTACAAATATTCTGAGACAGAGAGAGAGAACATAGAATGTTAGAGTTGGAAGGCACACTGGAGGTCATCTAGTCCAATCCCATGCAAGAACAGGAGACGCTATACACAGGTGGGGAACTTTTATGACTTGGGGACTTCAACTCCCAGAATTCCTGAGCCAGCATGGCTGGCTCAGGAATTCTGGGAGTTGAAGTCCACAAGTCATAAAAGGGCCATAGTTCCCCACTCTTGCCTTATACCATTTCAGACTAATAGATTTCCAGTTCCTTTTTGCAAACATCCCTTGATGGGATTCCCACAACTTCTGAAGGCATCAGACTTGATCTTCACAAACGAGAAGCTCACAATCCCCTCCCGTCCCCCCCGCCCCACCAAAAAAGCTGCAGGGCTCTTCTACACATTTTCATAACTCTAGGAAGCGCGTTGCTTCCGGAGGGGGGGGGGAGAAGGGTTGAGGCCTAGGCGTTGCCGTGGTAACCCGGGCAACGACTGTGACGTAGGCCGCGGGAGAGCGGTGGGGTTTAGAGGGAGGAGCGCTTTGGCGGAAGCGGGCCTGGTTTCCGCTTCCGCCCGGGGCTCGCTCTTTTCCGTTCGGTAAGGAGAGGCTGCTGGAGGCGCGTGGAGGGTGGTCGGGCCAGGCCTTGTGTCGGGTGGGGGAGACCCGCTTCTTTCTCGGCCCGCTTTACAAAGCGTCCTTGCGTGACTCTCGATCCGGGGACAGCAAAGACAACTTGAACACGCGTCTGATTATCAACAGATACTTTTTAACTAGGTTAGATGAAGTGGAGCTCGATTTCTGGGGAGTTCGTGGACGCAACCATGTGGTTCCCCTGGCAACAGTAGGGGTGGCTGGCCATTACTGCCTTCTGGGAAGCTTTAGCCACTCCCTCTTTTGCCCCCCCTCCTTTCCTGGGGCTTCCTGGTGGTCTCCCTTCCAATTTTGGTTGGGCTCAGCCAGAGTTGTAGCTACCATTATATGGGTAGCATTTATATAGGTGTAGAGACGAAGGATGCTTAAACTGTACCTAAGAAGGTTGGGGTAAAGATATATCATGGGTATGTCTAGTTTAATGGAAAAAAAAGACACGGGGAGACATGATAGCAGGGTTCCAATATCTCAGGGGTTGTCACAAAGAAGAGGGAGTCAAGCTATTCTCCAAAGCACCTGAGGGAAGGATAAGAAGCAATGGGTGGAAACTAATCAGGGAGAGAAGCAACTTTGAATTAAGAAATTTCCTGGCAGTTAGAACAATTAAATCAGTGGAACAACTTGCCTCCAGAAGTTGTGAATGCTCCAACACTGGAAGTCTTTTAAGATGTTGGATAGCCATTTGTCTGAAGTGGTATGTAGGGGTTCCTGCCTAAACAGGGTTGGACTAGACCTCCAAGGTCCCTTCCAACTCTTGTAGTCTATATTAACAAGAAAGGAGAGGTGTAGTTTTAGGGTTATAGATAAATATGCAGAGATATAGGTATAATACAAAAGATAGAACAAGAAATAAGAGCGTGTAAGTCCATTCTCACAAAATAACACATAAAAAGAGAATGGGCAATTTGTTAAGCAGATACCACCATGTTCATTGAGAGCTTACGCACTGGAAATAAATCCCTTGTGTGTCTAATCACGCTTGGCCAATAAAGAATTCTATTCTAAAAATACGGGCATATATCTAGGGTTTCTATGGATGTGTATGTAATGCCTAAAGTTTTTTGGCCATGGCAAGTTTAAAATACCTGGACTTCAAATGACCACAGTTCCCCCACCAGCATACTGGGGAGGGATTGTGGGAGATGAAATCCACACAGGTTGCAAAGGTTGAGAAACGCTAGAGGAATATTTGTAGATCTAAATATGGATAAAAAGGCGCAAATGTAAATATTGTAGATAAGGAGGAATTACTACATAAACATAGAACTGTATGTGGGTTGTGGTGCATACAGTGATGTCAGAATCGGGTTCTTCTAAAGTCTTGATTCACTTGTCACTTCTCTACGTTCTCCAGGTAACTTCAGCTGCCACAATGCAGATTTTTGTGAAAACCCTCACTGGCAAAACCATCACCCTTGAGGTGGAGCCAAGTGACACAATTGAAAATGTCAAGGCAAAAATTCAGGACAAGGAAGGTGAGCATTGACTCTTGAGATTACATAGCAGCCTGATAGAACAGCTAGTCTGTCTCTAGGAAACAGATGGATCTCCTGGGCTGGGGACATTCCAGAGCTGCCATCTGGTGAACTGTGCTATGGTGGGAGCTAATTGGGCTTCTGTATACACTGAAGATCAAAGCAGAGCATTGCCAACTGAAGCAGAGCTGTTACTTTTCAGATTTCTTTGACCCAAAAAATGGTTACTCATCCATGGCCACGTGTTTGGGATTGTTTTCCCAAACATTGTCAGGGATACAACCTGTTGGAGAAGACTGGAAAGAGTCATGACTGCTAGTGCTTAAAAAAGATTGACTTCCACTTGGACCTATTCCTTCTGATCTGCACAGTCTCTGTTCTAGAAAGGATTAGACAGAAGCAATTATTTTCCTAGAATGTGACCTTTATAATAGACTAGGTGATAACCCGGCGTTGGGCGAGTATGTATAGCCGTCGAAGCGTTAGTGTGGCAGGGACAGGGAGCCATTGAGAGGGGCCTTTCATCCCCCTACTCCCATGCCCATCATCTCTGCCCTTCCCCCTCTCATGCAGTCCTCTTAAACACCACCACCACCACCCTCTATTTGTTTCCAGAGGGTAAGTCATCTGTGTACCAAGTTTGGTTGAAATTGCTCGAGGTGCTCCAGAGTTAGGCTGGAACATATATACATACATACAGCCTTTTGATGAATGGATGGATGGATGGAAAGAATCCTATAGTATAGCATAGCATAGTTTAGTTAGTATAGTAATAGAAAAGTAATATAGTAATGTAATATAATATAAAATTATGTATATTATATTATCATATAGTATATATATATGATAAAATCCATAAGAAAAAAAACTTATTCAAAAAGAAACTAGGAAGAAAACAGCCCTTAAAACCTGGCTGTTCCGACAGGCCTGGGGCTAAAGTCTCGCTGCCCTATTTCGAATGGTATGATTGTTGTGCTTTTTAACTATGTATGGTTTTGTGTTTTTGTTACATTGTTTGTATTTCCCTCTCCCTTTTTTGAGTTGTGAGCCGCCCTGAGTCCCTTCGGGGAAAAGGGCAGCATACAAATAAAATAAAACTACAAACTACAATGCATTGAAATTTTTTTTAAGTTCTACTTTAAATGAGAGGGAAAGACTCAAACAAGGATCCGGAAGGATGGAAAGAATAGGTGCCAAGGCAAATATTTGGGCAAAAGAATACTCTTTAATCCAGAGCTTCCATACATAAGCCCAGGCCCAGAATATCCTCTTGACTTTAAAGTATTGCAAACAACTTCTCAACAAGATCTTGGGATAAAGAACTTAAGAAGCAGACTCACTGATTCATATGTTTACATCTTTCTGTATACAGTGAGAAGCAAGATGGAATTTAGAATTGGAGAGAGATTGCTAATATAATAGCCAAGACTTTAGTCTGTAGAGATTATCTGTCATCCAGTTGATGGTTGTCCCAAGGGCGTTTTTTTCAGGAGGCAACTGGACTTTCTGTTTTGTTTTTTTTCTTTGAAGAGGTTTCGTTTCTCATCCAAGAAGCTTCCTCAGCTCTGACTGGATAGTAGAAGGATTTATATTCCTTGCAGACTGCTGGTCATTTGCATCCTTTTTAGGGGGTCGTTGAAGCACTTGGAGGTTTATCTCTGTCCTCAGGGACACAGCCAAGTCTTTTGTGTCCACAAAATTTTGGCGTTCTTCCATCTTCACTATGAGTAGCTTTCAGATTCCTCCTGTCTCATTGTGTGAGGATATGGGAGTGTCACTTTTAAACATACGTTTTCGATATGCTGCTAAAGTGTAAATATTCCCTTGAGAGGTACAGCATTGTTGAAACTAAGAGACTTTTGCAAGCTATGCTTTCTCTTCCATCGCATGGAGAAAAATAATTCTAAACTTGTCTTGCACAATTGTTAAGGTCTGTCCGTGGTCTAGTGCAGTTTTACTTGAGAGAAGGACTGTGTGAAACCTCTTGGTTTTTTCTAAAAAAAAATTCTCCCCCATGTCTGCTTTCGATAATTGACTTCCATACAAAAATCTTTGTTTTGTAAGGTATTCCTCCTGATCAGCAGCGTCTGATCTTTGCGGGAAAGCAGCTGGAAGATGGACGGACACTCTCAGACTACAATATCCAGAAAGGTATGGCACTGATCACCCATCTCTTACTCTCCTCAATTTTGGGGAGGGGTTTGGCCTCGTTTTGTTATATGGGGCTTCATATTTGCCAGAAACACACATACGCATCAAGTGGATTCAAGACAGTTTCAGTGCCTCTTCCCTCTAGAAAGAGCCATTTTCAGCTAGTAGAAAAGAAGGGGCTTTTGTTTTTAATTTAAATATTTTGAGGTGATTACAATTCTGATTGTTTCCAAAAAATGAATTTGCTATTGTGACATCTGACCATGTAGAGTCCAAGATGCAGTGAGCTATTGAAATGGGCTGAATTTTTCACCAAGTTGACTAACATTAAAGAGCAATGTTGCTTAGAGATGACAACTTTGAGTTAGATCACAGGCAGGATAAATGGATACCTTCCACTTACTTCCTGTTTTCCACATGGTATTCATTAACACCAACATAGTGCGAGGGTAACGGGCAAGACTGAAGGATGACTGAGAAGATCCTGCTCTGTCAGGGACCTTGGGTAGCAACTGCCATGTTTCTGTTTATCCAATTGGTGATGATTCACTGTCAATCTCCCAAGATCACTGCCAGAAACAGATCCTCTCTGGCTCCAGATACTTTGCAGAGCTTAATATGGAACATGGAACAATTGAAGATCATTTTGTGTTCCATGCTCCTGGAGATTCCAGTTTCTCAAGGAAATATGATTTTTAAAATACAGTATTTAATTCTACACATCATAACGGCAGTTAGGATAATATGTGCACAAAGCTGGAAGAACAATAACTTCCTAACAGAGGAAAATGTGATAAGGGAAGATTTAGAGAGTGTGGAGATGGACAGGCTCACAAAAGAAATAAAAGATAAGGAGGAAACGGAATGTTACATGGTATGGAATGAGTGGTATAAATGGTTAGAGCAGTGTTTCTCAACCTTGGCAACTTGAAGATGTCCGGACTTCAACTCCCAGAATTCCCCAGCCAGCATTCGCTGGATGCTAAATGGATGGAAANATGTCTAGTTTAATAGAAAGAAGGACTAGGGGAGACATGATAGCAATATCTCAGGGGCTGCTACAAAGAAGAGGGAGTCAAGCTATTCTCCAAGGCACATGAGGGTAGGATAAGAAGCAATGGGTGGAAACTAATGAAGGAGAGAAGCAATTTAGAACTAAGGAAAAATTTCCTGACAGTCAGAACAATTAATCAATGGAACAGCTTGCCTCTAGAAGTTGTGGGTGCTCCAACACTGGAAGTTTTTAAGAAAAGATTGGGCAAACATTTGTATGAAATGGTGAAGGGTTTTCTACCTGAGCAGGGGGTTGGACTAGAAGACCTCCAAGGTTCCTTCCAATTCTGTTATTCTGTTCTGTTCTTTCCTGCCTTATTTTTTTCTCCACTTTTAACACAGCATTCTAGGCCTTTAAAAAAACTACCTCAGGAGAACATTTTTGCTTCTTAGCCAAGGCCATTTATTTTGGTATGTGAGAACTTATCTTTTCAGCACTAAACAAAAGAGAACTTATTCTGAAAGTCCTTGAATGCACTCCCAAGTTTTAAGAAAGATACAAACCCAGCTGGGAAAGAGTAGCATAACTAATACATTTGCCACTTCTGGAATGTTATCTAGAATTACTTGTTTTTCACTGCTCAAGCCTCAATGTCTTTTATTGTCTGATCGCTTGCTTTCTGACATATCACATATATCAAATGTATATGACTTACTCATATACTATAGTAAGATGACTTACTCTCTGGAAACAAATACTGTGGGAGTAAGACACCCTCTAACTAACACCCCTCGGGGTGTGTGTTCTGTTAAGATACAGCCTGTTGTGCCTTAAAATGGCTTTTAAAGTACTGCTGTAAAATGGCTTATACTGTACAGATCAGCGGCGTTGCCATTGTAACTGCTTCACAGTACTCCACAAAGGGGTTCCCTCTGGTAAGGGGGAAAATCCAACATTAGAAATTCTGTCTAATATAGGATTAGGATAAATAAATAACCAGGCAACATTGGGTTATCAGCTAGTACCCTATGAAAAGACTTGAAAACCCCACCGCCTTAATTTTTGCTTTGCCTGAATTACCTGGAGATTCATATTGTGCAGTGGACAAAGAAGGCCCTTTGCAAAAGTAAAAGTCAGTCTCTCCCCCCCCTCTCTCTCCCTCCCTCCCTCCCTCCCTCCCTTCTCAAATTTTT